TTTCAAGAGTACCAAATCCTCAACCTGAAAATATAACTCAGAGTGTCACCAGTCTGCACAACTCTTTTGGCAGCTCTGGTCATCAATAGTCTTTGTTTGACATGTTGAATAAGCTCGTTCGTATTGAGCACTATCTCAGTGCTCCCCATGACTCTATGTATGACCTCTCCCTAGAAAATAGGAGTCTGATACCTCATCCCATACAAAATCTCAAAGGGTGGCATGCCAATGATGGCGATTTTTGTAAAAAACTTGGCCAAAGGGAGATAGGGCTCCCTACTCCCACCAAAATAAATGACGTATGCATGCAACATATCCTCAAGCATTTGAATGGTTCACTTGCTCTACCTGTCAGTTTGCGGATGGTAGGCGGTACTGAAATGCAATCGGGTTCCTAATTCTTCATGAAACCTCTTCCAAAATCTGGAAGTAAAACAAACATCCCAATCGGATATAATAGGAGTTGGCACCCCATGTCGATCCACCATCTCTCAAACATAAATCTCAGCTAGCTCCCATAGGGTGTATTTTCAAAACTTTTCAAAAATACTAGATCAAATTTTAAATAATTAAATTAATAAATTAATTTTATCTTTATCTTAAAATTTTACCAAATCACTTAATTTGATAAGAATATACATTTACCTTTTCAGAAAATTCAATTTTAAGTAGTTAAAATGAATTAAGATAATTATCCTAATCAAATCAAGATATCAAAATTGAAAAATTAGGCATCTGACGAGTCAACTCGTCGAGTTTGATGAATCTGTTCCCTCCTCCTTTGGGCGATTCACTATTGAATCAAATTCAACTGAAAAACATCCTAGGCTCTGATACCACTGATGGGTTTTGAGCATAACTACAACCTATGAGTTCATGCAACCCTAATTGCTTTGGAACTATGTTTCTCACTAGTTGAACATGCAAATTAAATACCAAAGCAAAACCCTAGATCTAGCATATGTAAATCGAAAATTACATATTAAAAGGGTTTTGATGTTTACCTTACTTGTTATGTAGTAATAACAAGAGCACCTTGTAGATCTTGACTCTTGAAAGCTTAGTGCCTCAAATGTTGCACCTCTAATGGCTTACAAACACCACTAGCAAAATGATGAGAGGATAGATGTGGGATGCATTTAGAATTTCGGCTAGGGTTTTCCAGATACAAGCATTTGCCGAAATCCATAGTGGTGGGGTCTTTATATAGCTATGGGCTGCTAGGGTTTGCTAGAGGAAACCCTAATTTCCTGCTTAAGGCTTAAGTAACCCATGGACTTCTTACTAGTAGGCCTTAAACGACGAAACCTATAGGGCCTCCCTATAGTTTTTATCCACTCCCATCTAAAGAGTCCATTAGCCCAGTTTCATAACTATTAATGATTTGCAAAACAACCCATTTTCCTTTAATTAGTTCCTTTAAACCCAAAATTAATTCCAAATTAATTTTTGATTAAATATTAATTAAATAACATGATTTCCAATTAATATATTATTTTTATAATAAATTAATAAATCACTGTATTATTCCAAATAATAAATTCAACCTCTCTCTCCAAAAGTCATCCTGTTAAGTTGTTAGAGTGAAGACAACCCAAAAGGACCATGCTACTATCAAAGCAAGTACATACTAATTATAGTTATGGGCTTAGACACCTAATCCAACAGAAAAGTCATAATGTCAAATACAATTCCACATTGAAATATCAGAGTGTCCCAAAAATATCCAACAACATAATCACCGAATGAATGTGTACAATCAAACCTTCGCTTTCATGTAGTCCTCAAAAGTACCTGAAACACATTTTATCAACAAATGTAAGCACAAAGCTTAGTGAGTTCGCCAAAATATGACATACTACATAACACATAAGTCAGCTATAGGCTATAATCAACCCTTGAGACTACCCGAAGTCTTGGTGGACAAACAACACGCCCTGTAGGTTATCAGCGACACTGGAGACTACTTAATGTCTCTACACATATAACAAACCAATCACAGTAATAACACATTAGACCTATTTGGTTGTCACATACATATACAACTATTCTACCACACAGGTAAGAACAAGGGAAGAGACTCACTTGGCACTAGTGATTGACAGAACTCACACCCGAATTGCCGAAATTAGACTCCGCCTAATTAAACACACCAATTAACCTTAATTAATAATTAAGGTATTTATCACACACTAATAAGCCCAATTCAAGAGTAGTCCACACTCATAGAAAAGGCTGATTTGCCATTACAAAACCCCTCACAATCCATCTAAGGCACAAGTGATCAAAGTTAACGAAGGTTAACAGAAGTCAACCATCAGTTAGTACGTTAGGCATACTAAACCCTATGTTGGGTGTAGAGAGCAAGTTGGCTCCGTCAGACTCGCATCTGGCTATACGGGGAGTAGCCATGCATACGATCAACTACGTAAGCTGGTCTCAATAGCTACCATAATAACATCTTAATCATTAAGACTTTCATCTCAACCTTAGATCTATCCCCTAAAGAATATCCTAACCCATAAAGTCTCTAACTTTAAGCCTTTGCATGACTACAAGGAGCTAAAACCCCAAAACCCTAACTTTCTACTTCATTAAAGCCCCATATCTCATGCGTGGAAGAAAGGAAATGGCCAAGCTAACATTTTTATGACTTTCGACATCTTAGAATGTCTGAATGGACGACTTAATAGCTTTGGAGTACTCCATAATCACAAAGATCAAATCTTTTGGAACAAAAAGAACCAAAATGCAAAGCTAAGCAAGATCTAACTAAATAAGCTCCAAGATTTGAACTTTATACTTCAACAACAAACAAAGAGATGAAGTTTCTGGATCTACAAGCTAGAATGCACGACATCCACTTGAAAGATCTTCCTTCTAACACTAAACACACAAGAATCACTTTCCAAACTTCAAAACTCTCATACATAAGCTGGTGTTCGATTTTAGGATTTGGGGAATATGGAGGCTGGTCATGAGAAGATCCAAGAGGGTTTATGTTGCTTAAATAGTGGTCATACCCAAAGGATTAGGGTTTGGAAACAAAGCGAGTACGCCCGACGTATGCCTATGTACGTCCAACGTATTCACATTTTGACCTGTACCAAAAGTTGGTTGACTTACTCCCAACGTACCGTTAGTATGGCCATTGTAAGGACCTGATATGCACAACAGTGACTCAACGAGTTTAGGGGATCTAAGCAAACGAAACATGTGGGGCTATTTTGCGTTTACTATACATAATGTTATAAACTCTCCTCTTTCTAATCAACTAACCATAATAAAGTAATAAATAATGGAAAATTGGAAGTGTTCAGTTAAGTATTTGAACAACTGAGAAATGAGAAAGAAGAATAAAAGATAAATGTCATTTTAGTTTTTAAGAATCAAGATTGTTGCACTCCTGTCTCCTAATACCGCTTGCGTTTTGATCTGTCGCTCACCGTGATTGCCAATTAGAATTGTGAATTGTGGTCTGTCGGACAATAAGACAATTACTAATGGACTAATTTAGTAACTGAGATTTGAAATATATTAGGTTAAATTTGGATAATATGAGGCCCTTTAGAATTAGGCGTCTTAAGCCATAGTTTAGAATTTTACAAGGTTAAGTCAGCCTTAGATAAGCAAACTTAAAAGAAACGCAAAAGTTGAAATGAAAAATACATGAAAACGGTTGTTACACCTTATAATGTTTTAACAACTTTTATACTACAATATATAGGTCTGGCAATGGAGCGAGTTTTGATTCTGATTCGATCCAAACCCTTAAGAATTATATGGGTTCGGAGCATAGTTTTTGATTTGCTTACCTGTTAACGACCCATACTCGCTAACCCTTTTATTAAAAGGGTCGGGTTTGGATCACCACTGATCCGCTCCATTTGTAACCCGCCCTGTATTATTTTTGAATTAATGGTTTATATTTTATATTTCATAATGTTTAATTTTAATTCCAATCGAAAGGCCAAAGAGAAAATGCCAAAGTCCAAACTGTTTATACATAAGAATCGAGAAGTCGACTTCTAAACTTCTAGTCCTCTACTAAGAATTATGATGTCATTTCATTTATATTTCATCAAGCAATCATCATATTTCATTCATAAATCAAAAAATTCATTCATCAACTGAAAGAAAGTTTGTCATTTCTATTCTCTATCACTACAATTGACAATAAAAAATAAATAAGAAGTTACTACAATAGTAATTTTTAATTCCAATTGGAAGTCCTCGAGTATGTAATATGTTTTCTTAATCAAAATTTGTTTTATTTAAGAAATATTATTTTAAGAATTAAGTAAAATGTGTTTGATAATTCAAAAAGCCTATGGGTTACGGGACAGATTTGGATATCCGTTGATTCGGTGGATAAGGGTATGAATTTGATTATTCAAAACCCTACGGGTTACGGAGTGGATTTTGATCGGATTTTGAAATTTGTTAAAAGGGTTTGGATCAAGGTCGATTCGCTCAAAATCCACCCCATTGCTAGGTCTAACACTATACTAATGCTATAAAAAAAATAAAGATGAGTTAAAATGGGACAATTTTTTGGGTTTTGAAGAGGAAAAAATTAACGAGGTGAGAGAGAGAAACAGTGAAAAGTGGTCTTAATTGGTACAAAAATATATGAGAAAATTACACGGTTGGTCCCTATGGTTTGCTCTTACTTGCACGCTTCGTCCCTGGAAAGAATTTTTAACTCGGACAATCCCTATAACTTTATTTCGTTACCCGCCTAGTCCTTTAGTTAACTTTCCGTCTTATTTGGGGTTAGGAACTACTCACGTGAGTGGCACGCTGGGGGCATTTTTGTCCTTTTAACCCTACAATATATTAGCGCCATTTAGAATACAGACGGATGGTTTTACGATTCCGATCATCGTCAAACCAAAACACACACAAACACACACTTGTCAGACGAATTCCCTTTCTTCTCTCAAACGAAAACCCTAGTCGCTAGTTAAAACTTTGTATGCTTTTCCAAATAATCAACAATGCCGGTTTGGAATTTAAGTGAAGCACGAGGACGGATGATCAGTGAAGCAGAAGTTCGTCTTCAATATGGTAAGTCCGCCTAGTCCCTAATCTCGTTTTTATTTGCATTTGCTTCGTGAAATCCTACAACCCTAATCAAATGTTAATCAAAATTTTTGGGGCATTTCCTTAATAGGTGATCATCCGACCATGTTTTGCATGCTATTAAACCATGGTGGAAAGTTTACTGATTTTCCTGGAAGGAAGTATGTAAACGGAAAGAGACATTACGTTGAGTTAATAGACATCGAGACTTTCTGTGTTCACGATATTGATGACATGATGGTGAAACTTGGGTATATCGATGAAAATCTACATGTGGAGATGTACTATCATTTTCGAAGGCCACTATGCGATTTGGATTTTGGCTTGTTTGCTTTAGCTTCAGATGATGATGTAAGGCATTTAGCAAAATATGTTGGCCAGCATAAGCTAATAGAGGTGTATACAGAGCACGGGCAAACGAAATTACACACATACTCGATGTCACCAAACCCATCTAAGGTACGTATAGTTGAGATTGATTGTACCCCAAAAAGATTGTTTTTGGAATGGCATGATACACAAGTTGAGCCTAATGATGTGTTGACATTTGAGCCTAATAGAAACAACCCTCCTGTTTCACCTACTAGAAATGAGCCTTCAATTGACAAGGTGGACATGGTAAGTGATAATGCAAACATCATGGAAACTGAAATTGAACATAGTAGTGATGATAATAGCAGTGGTGATGAGATCAACAGTGGTGATGATAGTGAGAGTCAAGATGGTGACTTTCTTGTGGACGAAGACAATATCATTGATGATGTTGAAGTTGACATGAGAGAATTCCACTTGAATGTTGACCCAGATGTTGAGTGGATTGGAGGTGCTTCTAAAAGAAAGAATCATGTAGTTACAGAAGATGGGAATGAAGCAGACCTTGAAGTTATAGATATGGAACTTTTCTTGTCCGACTCTTCATCGGATGATGGGATCGAAGGAGAAAGAAACAAAAAGATTAAAGCTATTAGAAGGGCGCATGAGAACGAAAATGCTCAAGTCAGTGAGCCTTTCTATTTATATCAGAAATTTAATTCGTCAAAGGAGTTTAAAGATATGGTTAACCAACATGCAATAGATACAAGAAGGGAGTTGGATTTTGAGAAGAATGATAAAAACAGAGTAAGGGTTGTATGCAGGGGAACCATAACAAGCCTAGGTGGTGGGACCGGTCAAGAAGTAGTCAATGAAGAAGGTAAGTGTCCTTGGGTTCTTTTAGCCAGTAAGTGGAAACGTGACAAGGATTGGACAGTTAAAACATATGTTAGTGAACATAAATGTCTTCAAACAAGAAAGGTTAGGGCTTGTGATTACAAGTTTCTTTCAAAGCAAATTCTACAACTGGTGGAAGCAAACCCAAAAATTCCAGTCAAGGCTTTAAGGGAACAACTTCAACGTATCTACAAAGTAGATATTTCTAAGATGAAAGCCTTTAGGGCAAGACAAGCAGCCTTAAAAATTATCAGGGGTGATTATGCCACTCAGTACAAGATCTTACAAGATTATTTGTTAGAAGTGCAGACTCAAAACCCAGACACCACTATCAAGCTTGATGTCGAAAGTGAACCAAATCCTGATGTTGAGACAAGAACCTTCAGACGCGTGTACGTGTGCCTTGGTGCTTTGAAGCAAGGATTTGCAGCAGGGAAGAGGGATTTTCTTGGGGTAGACGGGGCTTTCATGAAAGGACCTTTCCATGGTCAAATTTTATCTGCTGTGGTACATTTTCTCTTATGTTGTGGTTGAACCATATATTTTGATTTATTTTTTTACTTTTATTTATTGGATTGTATTGCACAGGCTTTAGATGGGAATAATGGAATATATCCTTTAGCATATGCTGTGGTTGAAGCTGAGACACTGAACTCTTGGACATGGTTTTTAACTCACTTGGGTGATGACCTAGGGTTGGCTTCAAATTCAAATTTTACATTTATATCAGACAGGCAAAAGGTTATTTTCTTGTGTTTTGAATACTAATATCTAAAGGAAAAGAAATCATTGACATAATGTATCTTTCTTGTAGGGTTTAAGTTCTGCCATCGCAGATTTGTTTCCTTGTGCAGAGCACCGTTATTGTGTTCGCCACATACACGAAAATATGAGGTCACGTTGGAGAGGGGATAAGTTTAAAGAACTGCTTTGGAATTGTTCAACAACATATACTGTGCAAGAGTTTGAAAAAGAAATGGAAGAAGTTAGAAAATTAAACCAAGAATGTTATGAGTGGCTTAAACAAATACCACCTCAACATTGGGCACGTTCTCATTTTACAGGTTTGACCATGTTATATATTATAATATATGATAACTATTGTTGTATACTTGTTATGCACCCACTCTGGTCACCTTATTTTAGAGAAAGGGTAGTTTGGGGTAATCATCAAATAAAGAGCATCTTGTTGGTACAGGGGCATTATGGGTATTTTATATTATTTAGTAATAGTTAAGGAATTGCATTCTGTTCTTTACATTGTGTTGTTCTTGTTGTGGTTACTCATTAAATTAAGTGAGTTCATAACAATACTCTAATGTTTGCTAACCAATTATACATGTATTCTATTAATTAATAGGGAGAGCACATTCTGATATTGTGATAAACAACATATGCGAGTGCTTTAATAGCAAAATAATAGACGGACGTGACACACCAATTATCAATTGCTTAGAGTTCATCCGGGAGTACATCATGAAGAGGATTGTGAATGTTGAAAAAGAAATTGACAAAGCAACAGGCCCTTTGACTCCAACAGCTACCAAGCTATTGCAAAAGATCAAAGATCAGGCAGAGGAGTATACAACATCATTTTGTGGAAATGGGAAGTACCAAGTGAGTGGACCTTGGCAAGATCAGTGTGTAGTGAATGTGAATCAACGAACCTGTTCATGCAAGAAGTGGGAAATAACTGGAATGCCATGCAAACATGCTGTATCTGCAATCTGGGACATGAGGAGAAATAATGGTGCAATTGGTATTCCAGAAACCTTTGTTCATGAATGTTATTGGCTATCAACCTGGAGGAACATGTACTCTTTCAAAGTGGATCCGATAAATGGTAGAAGAATGTGGATTAAGTCACCTTGTCCAACTACTTTGTTGCCTCCAAAACACCGTGTCCCAATAGGAAGACCAAAAAAGAAACGAAGGAAGTCAGCTACAGAAAAAGAGGATATGATCAAAGGGAATACAGTTTCTAGAGCACAAAAAACTGTTACATGTACCAAATGTAACAACAAAGGACACAATGCCAGGACTTGCAAAGGGCAGTTACCAACTGTTGGGAAGAAGGGAAAAAAGAAGAATGAGAAAGGAAAAGAGAAGGATAAAGGAAAAGAGAATGAGAAAGGAAAACAGAAGAAGAAAGGAAAAGAGAAGGATCCATTGTAAACTCTTTTATCATGTGATGCTCTTATTTTGGTTAAGCTATTATGTAATGTGATGTTTGTATTGTGGTTAAACTATTATGTCATGTGATGTTTGTATTTTGATTAAACTGTATTGTGTTTAGTATCACCAAAACAATTGCAGTTGGTACTTAGACATTTGTTTTTGGTTAAACTCTTATGTAATGCTTTTGTTTTAATGTTATCTAATGGATCAATTATTGGTATGTTTTTTGGTCATTTCATTTGGCATGTTTTTGGACATTTCATTTGGCATGTGTTTGGTCATTTCATTTAATGTTATATAATGGATTATTTGGAATGTTTTTTGGTCATTTCATTTGGCATGTTTTTAGTCATATGTTAAATGAAAAATACCAAAAGATTACAGTTGCATTGCATCTATTAATTGTACCAATAGATACCCTTTCTCTCCCAATTCCAGCAATACAAGATGGTAATAATCCATTGTAATCTTTTATAAGAGAACAAAGTGCAACTATTAATTGTACCAAAATATACCATTTCATTAAAATGCAGCAATACAAACATGCTAATATTACCCATTCATTAGATTATCTTCAACCAAAACCACTACTGAAATACCTAATACTACAACTTGTAAACAATTATCCCAAAAAACAAAATCCAACTGACAATTAACAACATTTTAAGGTTCCGATTTTGGATTTCAAGTTCTTCATTCTGGATTTCAAGGTCACGATTTTGGATTTGAAGTTCTTCATTATGGATTTCAAGCTCAAGATTTTGGCTTTCAACCTCATACGTATGATTTTCTTCATCTACCCACAAATAAATCCACTTCTTGGTCCCTGAAGTTTTCAATACCCTCGATTAGCACAAACTAGGGTTCATCCTAGAAATTACCAAAAAAAATTGATAACTCAATACCTGTAAAGGGCATGCATAAAAAGGCCTACCAGGATTTCTCTTTGTTCCTGAAGTTCGTATGATCCCTACAGCTCCACACTTGCATTTCACCATAATCAATTTTGTGGATCTTCAATCTTCACGAGCAAAAGAAATGGAGTAGAAGAGGAGAACTGGAAGCACCGATTGAGAAAAGAAGGAAGGAGAAGTAGTTTTAAGTCCGTTGTAGGGTTGAAAGGACAAAAATGCCCCCAGCGTGCCACTCACGTGAGTAGTTCCTAACCAAATAAGACGGAAAGTTAACTAAAGGACTAGGCGGGTAACGAAATAAAGTTATAGGGATTGTCCGAGTTAAAAATTCTTTCCAGGGACGAAGCGTGCAAGTAAGAGCAAACCATAGGGACCAACTGTGTAATTTTCTTAAAATATATATATGAGATGTCGATTTTAATGTAAGTTTAAGTGAAAAGTTCATCTTACGATACCATTCTCTCTTGTTTTTATGTATTTTCAAAGGAGGACTAAACTAACATACAGAACAGTGATACCATTGTTTGTATTGTTCTTCAGCTAGACTTCGTTTTTTGCATGCAAAATACTATTAATGTCAATCATGTGATTTTTAGCTCACTCTTCTCTTAACACGTAATCATATTGCCGTTAAATTGCTATTGTATCTTGAATTTTGTATATATGTACCTAGTTTTGAATAAAAATAGTAACTTATACAACACTGAATAATCAAATTAAACTTATACTAAATGCACAACTTAAACCAATAAAGCATTATGATTCAAGATATCCAAATAAATATATAAATGGTAAAGCAAATAATTTTAAAGTTTTCAGTTTCAAAATGGTGTTATAATATAATGAAAAGCTTAGTGAATTTTGGCGTGGGAGGATAAAGATAATTAAATAAATTAATATCACCACAATGAGCTAACACGTGTCCGTTTATGATCTACATCATAAAATTGATTTTGTTGAATACCTATAAATTTCGATATTTTGGGGGCCTAGAGTCATCCATGACTCAACTACTTTAATAAGAAACTCCATTTGCTTAATTAATTGGATAATTAGGAAATGGTTGTTATCCCATGATTGGAGTTGCAATATAGATTTTTAATTAGTTGATTAATTAACTATTAATTGTGGTCTTATGGATTGTTACTTAATCGCATGTTATGGAAGAAAGCCAAATATGTAGTTTGGATATGGGGTTACGTCACCCCATCACTCCCTTAACCTTTGGTGGCTTATTAAAATTTTAACATATACAAAACATAGATTATATAAAATGTAAATACAATTATTCCTTATTTGAAAATAAATTGATGTATAATAAAATCAAATACATGCAGGCATAGACAAAAGTAATAAGATTTTAGTATTATATGATATTTACTGTATTAATTCGATGATCTGTATTATTTAATTAACAATCTTTATGAAAAGTTTACAATTGATTCTCTTTTAATTCTTCAACACCAAAGAACCATAGTGTATGATACTTGATATATTTTAATTATGTTCTATCGACGAAATAACTATTTGATCTTAGTTTTATAAAGAAATAATCGTATGGTGAAAATTAATATCATAAAATGATAGCCAACAGTGTTATTCTTCTTTAAGTTATTTATATTTTATTTATGTGATTTTAGTCATTTATCATTTATTTCTATTTAGTGGGTCAACAAAGATTTTTTTTTATGTTCTTATTGCCCCGCTGGAGTGGATTTCAATTAGGTAATTCTGTCATATTGAATGTTATAATTGACGCAATAACAATCTCTGGTAGATATAAGTAAACGAATTTCTTCATATTGAATATCATAGTTGATGTAAGGGTGTATTCAATATTAATTTTCCCGTATTGTTAGAATTTAGTGGAAGATAATACTAAAGATGTGTTTTTTGTTTGATGAGATAACGATGCAAGATGGTTTGTGTGGTTCAATGTTCAGATTTTTTTGTCATACCACGAAGTTGTTTGAGTGGGTAATGATCAAAACTTTTATGTTTTTCAATGTTCTACATTGGAATAAATGTGTTTTTAGATTAATCGTCTTTTATTTTTTGAAAAAATTGTAGTTTTCTCTTATAAGTGGTTCACACATAGAAATCGTAAACTTAAAGTCAAATGTGTTAACCGGATACCCTCTTTTGCCTATTGATATGTAAATGTTTTGCTTTTGTTAGCTTTTATTTAAATGTTCAAAAAAAATATGAAAATCATAAATTTATTTATTTTGTAAATATATGTGAAGCTCAAGATTGTCAGGGAAACTCCAACATATATAATCACTTATAAAATCGTATCGTACCAATATGGAATACACTAACATATTTGTGTATAATTAAATGATAAGCAACAAAAAATAGAATTATTTCTCAAAATATGAAATTAACCTTTAAATGAATCTTTTTGTACATAACCTTTTCTGACCATCTTACTTGTAGAACACATCATAAGAACATTTTTCAAGGATCATAAGATCAAAACCGTATAACATAACCTATAACAAAATGATTAAAAACATGTGGTTAACGATATTTTGCTATTACAAGATTTTACATACATAAAGAAAATCATTTAGTTGAGTATGATTGGCTAAACAGCAAAACGAATTAAATTCGTTGAATTTGAAGAACGATGAAAGCAAAAAAAATACAAATAGAAACGTGTTGGGTTAATGTCGTCTGATGTTGACTTCAATATGAAGACGACATGTTTTGTTTTATTTAATGAGAATTCATTTTTAGAGGATTAAACGCGGATTTTAGGCTGTAGACGTGTATAATTATATACTATTGTAATCAACATATCTAGAGCTTTTCTTTGCAAATCAATTTTTACGTTTATTAAATTGCAAAAAGAACAATTAAGATATTTGATAGTTTTCATTGGTTATTGATTATTCTATAAGGAATAACTAACAATGAGACGGTTGTTAAACAACAATTAAAT